ACCATCCTGAAGTTGAATGCACAATAAAAATCCCAGGCCCCATGAAGAAAAGACTATCATAAGGGATAATCATGAGCAACAGGTCAAAACACCCAAGAAGTTGAGTTAATAGAAGCGTCTCCAAGGCACTGTAAAATGCAAATATGAAGGAACAGCGAATGTAACAGAAGAAGACAGGTTGAAAACAACAGTCACTTCTGAACATGAGAACTATCCCGAAAGAGGACTCTTGAAATGGGCTACTCAGCAGGGAGGCTGTCATGTTAGAAGAGAAGTGCAGATGGAATAGGTAAGAGTCGGGAAATGGATCCGCTTCACCCTGTGGAGAAATTAGTGTTTTCTGACACATGCTCCCTCCATCATTAGAACAAATTTTTATTTATACATCGATATAATAACTAAAGGTTCGGTTTCCAAGGTAGATGTTTCCTCCCTAGAACTAGCATATCCTTAAAATTTATTTTTTATAAACTGCGGATACTTACTCTAAATCTTGTCAGAACAGACAGCCCCATCTTTCTCCCACAGAACTCATCATTTGCCCGTGATTTGAAGTATAATATTACTTAGATTTTACTGAAAAGACAATTCTTTGTTATTTGGTGGGGGTGGGGGGGGGGCATTTAAGTTTTATAACAAAAGGAAAATTGATCAACAATCATATGAAAAATAAAGAATAAAAGAAAACTAAAATTTATATGTATTGATGAAACCTAGTAAAAGATTGCTTAACTGTGCTCTTGGATTTTATTTTTCCCAAGTGCAAGTCCAAAGCAGCAGTATGTGATATCTTAGGGCAACCTAAAGCATGTCTTTATTACACATATAAAAGTAATGCCATTGACATAGGCTCAGGGAAAAAGTTAGGAATTCTCCTATAATGATAGTACATTAAACTTTGTCAGCATCTAAGACTACCAGAACCTTTTCTTCTAACCTTTCTAACCTAATTTTCATGCACCATATTCATAAAACATGTTTGTATATGACTGATAGGCATTCTTATTTTACTCTAACTATATGGCTTCCAAATGATAAAGTGAAGACATGGATTAACTGAGAAAGCAATGGAAACCACTTTCAATCAATGTGCAGTATGTGGAGTTTAAATTCAATAAACCTGGCTTTAAAACTTGTAAAGAACATGACACTCAATGTTAAGACAAGCTCGCCATCTAGTGGCTAGTCTGTAAATTATAACTATCGCGCTCTAGATTGAATAATGCGAGTACCCATCCACTGCCAAGGAGTCAGAAAATTTTCAAGTCAAAGAGTCTCTGAACCCATGAAAAGAAATTTGGGTTAAATTTTCCCTTCTCTCTCTTTCTCTCTTTCCCCACCCAACCCCACTAATATGTTCATTACTTGCTCTGCATTCATATTACTTAGAAATCTTAGAAGAAGAAAAAATGTTTGTTGCTTTCCTCTAATTTTAATAAAATAACACTTTTCGCTTATACAGCACTTTTCACCCAAGGATCTCAAAGTGCTTTACAAACATGCCCTAAGTAAGCCTCACAGACAGCCAGAGGTAGGTGCTTTGCTTCCCTCTTTACAGGAATGCCCCTTCTGGCCCACAAATTTCCGAGGCGCGTGAGAATGCCTGGGGACCGTCCTTACCCGCTGCTGCCCCTGGGACCACGCTGCATGCAAAGCGCCGCTTCTCCTGCGGGCTTTCTCTCTCCTGGGAACCCTCTCAAGTTTAGAATTCTACTTATAAATATGAGAGATGATTCCAATTTTTGCTTGAGGAATGCTACTTGAATTTCTAAAATTTGTTAAACTCTAGATCTGTTTCTTTTTTATTGTTGAACTTTAAATACAATTTTTATATATAAAGAAACTACCCTCTTTCTCAAACTCAAGTGCATTCAAATCAATTCTGATGTGCAGGGTCTTTCTTTATAGGTCCCCAGAAACCCCTGTTCTTGGAACTAAAACGTAACAGATTAATTGGGTAACCTGATCCACCGTGGGTATCTTTCCACAGCAAATGGTAACCATTTTCTTGGGGCTAGAATAATGTATTTTCAAGTAGGAATAATACTGTATTTGGGTATTGTTCTAATTCAGCAGTCCAACATATGAGGATAAATATTAAATTACACTAAATAATCTTTTTTTTTTTAAGGTAGTTGGTAGTGGCAGATCCTTGTCTGAGGAGCATGCAACTTTTGATTGGGTTTAGAAGTAATAGAAGGAGAACATTGGTAAACAGAGACTCATATAGAGCAGGCCTGGTTTAAAGTCCTATATAAAGAGCTAAATATTCAAACTCTTAACTGAAACAAAATGGTCTCGCAGGACAAAAGCAGGTGCAGCAGAGTACGGCATGATGTTGTCCCTTGGCCCTCAGGGTTCCTGGTTGGGGCTACAACGGCCTTATTAGGGACCCTAAAACTCACAGTGTCTCATGAAAACGGAGGCTTACTCGAACCAGATAACATGATTTTTGCTGTGGCAGTGCCTTTTTATACTCATGGTTTTTCTTGTCTTCCAAATAAATTTACATAAAGAATGTTTTTATTTAAAGGAGTATTTCCTGTTAGGCTCTCCTGATTTTGAACCACATTAGCAAGGGCAGGTTCTTATCCAAGGGAGAAAGTCGAATAGATGGGCTTGTGTCGTACAATCCATGTGTCTCTGTCTCTAGGTGTGAGCATCCTAAGGAACTCAGCCTTCCCACTGCACTAGTAATCGGAGGCATAGTAAAGAAAGATACTACTCTGTTTCTGGGTCAATTTAAACATTGGTAATTATGGAGCTTATTTTGCAAAGTATCAAATAAACTAGGAACTATGTCAGAATACCCACTAAGCTGGTCATAATCTTTCAAACATTGTTTTCTTTGAACAGCAATGCCTCTGTGATATATGATGGATAATTCCAGAAACATTCATCCTAACACAATGAGTTTAAAAATTTTACCCTTGGAAAATGGCCCCCCATAATTTCTATGGCAATTCAAACCCTAAATCATATTGTGTACACCATATTACACACAGGTGTCTCTGGGTACACTGCCAACCACATTGTAAATCTCTACTACAAAAGTCCAAACACTGCTCCCCTCACAGGCTCAGAAACTGACTTATCAGTGTTCCAGGGTCAGTCTTAATTTCACTGATGTGTGTTGATTCTTACTAATGCTAGGAACATATTAAACTTTTTAAGAGTATTTGTAATTTATGAAATAATCATCAAGCAAACCAGATGACATCTAAGCATGGGACGGTGTGAGTGTGCTGTCTGGGCTGGGGTGAAACTAATGGCCAAATGTAAAGAAGCAAGATACCTCTAGGGTACATGGTTCACATGAATCTACCCCTCAGAGAAACAGGGTTCCTGAGAGAGAAGTTTCAGGTGAACCGTAATGTTTCAATAGATCTTTCAAAGCTATTTCAACATAATTTCACTTAGAGTTGTGAGGTTATTAACTATGTAAATATATAAGGGGCTTCAAAAAGTTCATGGGAAATTTTTCGTTGTCTTATAATTCCAATTTTCCACAAACTTTTTGAAGCTTTCTTAACCTTTTACTCTTTTTGAGATTCTGCTGGTGAAGAAAAACGTGTGTTCCATCTAGTGAACTCTCAAATAACATCATTTAAATACGCTCATTTTTAAAACTTACATTTCTGCATTTTCCCTGGTTTCTTGGGGTGGAGATAAGCTCACTGGCGTTCACTGCATGAGCTGTGCATGAGCATGTTAGAGTTGCCATATTTGCCTGGCAGGGTAAATATTTTGCCATTTTGCTAAGTGTTGGATAATTCCGTGATTATTAGAAGGTTCTTTAAAAAACAGATTTTTCTCCTAAATAATTTCTTTACATAGACCAAGATTTTAATTTTGAAATAATATAATAAAGTTCTCCCATACTCCAAATAATCTTTACAATTCTCTGATAGACTCTAAATTTAATTCTATTGGGTGAAAGGAGAATACCTTTGGGTTTTTGTTATTTCCATAGGATAAGATGAGCCAGAATGTAAAATGGTGTCGGTGGCTTGTAAAAGAAACATGTAGTG